TAAAGGCAAGAAAGGGGTTTTATCAACGAGTTTTCATTGTCATTATAAAGTTGATAAACGTAATGAGAACCCTTTTCCGTTAGCATCAGCTGTATTGCCCCTGTTTTCGACGGTAGACTCTTCAAAGTGTAGGTGGATGCCCCATGGCCATCTGTCGACGGATTTTGCATCTGTTATAAATTAAATGTGCCACGTAGTCAGTTTATAGGTGTGTCTGAATATATCAAATTTAATAGCTACAGATAATGTATTGTCTGCAATAAACTCATTTGATACATTTCTGTAGTAGACCTAACAAATAATAAATAACTAAAATAGAAAGAAGCGTTTCAAAAAAAATTACTGCTTTGATCGTACATTAAAGTTTTTCTAAAGAATTATTACATTTCACAGTTTTATTTGTTGCAGATGAACACAAAACAGAAGTACCTTTAATAATAATGAACAGCTGATTCAGGAAGATTATATAAAAAATGAAGCTGTAGTAACTCGTACTTTTTTATGAATTCAAACGATTCTAAAGTAAATGTAATCCCTAAGGAATAAAAGCCTTACTTTACTGCCTGAAATTAAGGAATTTTAATCCATGTAGGTATTCCAAGAAAAGAAGAAAATTAAAATTCAATATTAAGTATAGTCTTTCGGTAGTCAATTGAACATGAAAATGCCTAGTAATAAAATTTAATGAGTTTCATAGGCGCCCCTAAAAAAGTTTTTTCTGCTAAAGGTAAAAAATAATAATTTGTGTATAATGTGTAGAAAATTTCTATTATATGTTCATTTGACCAACAACATATTTTTTCCTTATATAAATTATAAAGCGTCCGACGAATTAGGTCTCTCGTCATATCATCGATATTTTTAAATTTTTATTTTCGCTTCCTCTTTACGCAATGATATATTGTTGTCTAATAACACGAAAAATTGTGAACATTGAAACTTTAGTTAATACTTATGTGAATTCTATTTATAAATTCATTATCTGATTTTTCATATTCTTCGTTTTTTAAACAATCGTAAATATTTTGAATATGTAAATCTTTATTTTTAAATTCTAAATCTGTTTCATCGACAACCGGTTTTGTTCCGTTTTAAAAGGTCTCCAAAATGCCATGTTGAAATTATTATAGTAAATATCCCTCTTATTTCTTCGTTTCGCATTTGTAATATGAATAATTTATAGAAGGTGCCTATAATAAATTAAAATTACCTGAATCACACGAAATTCTGCATTGCTGCACTACAGTGCTAGGCAATTTATCAACAACTGAAATTTACGGCCGAGTTGCCCAGTGCGGCTGTGTTTGTAAGCCGTTTACCCGAGCGCGCGTTCTTCGACTGGGCGTATACATTTCTATCACCTCTACGTTTAGTTCGTCCAGACCTGTATATACTGCTTAGCTCTTTGGTCTTCAATTGAGATCGGAAAGACTATACAAAGTATGCACTGGGCGTCCTATTTTTACTAATATAGTCGAGCTGCCTCAAGAAAACTGTATTTTCAACTGTGTTTCAATGTTTTTTCATGATTTTTCTTGCCATTAATAATTTCAAAAATCCATTACTAATCTTAAATTTATTATTAGGTACATCTATAAATCCGACATTTAATACTCTGAAAGAAANAAAAAATTATAATAATTTGTATATAATGTGTAGAAAATTTCTATTATATGTTCATTTGACCAACAACATATTTTTTCTTTATATAAATTATAAAGCGTCCGACGAATTAGGTCTCTTGTCATATCGATATTTCTAAATTTTTATTTTCGCTTCCTCTTTACGCAATTTGATTGACGCATTGAAACTTTAGTTAATACTTATGTGAATTCTATTTACAAATTCATTATCTGATTTTTCATATTTTTCGTTTTTTAAACAACCGTCAATATTTTGAATATGTAAATCTTTATTTTTAAATTCTAAATCTGTTTCATCCACAACCGGTTTTGTTCCGTTTTAAAAGGTCTCCAAAATGCCATGTTGAAATTAATAGTAAATATCCCTCTTATTTCTTCCTTTCGCTTTTGTAATATGAATGATTAATAGAAGGTGCCTATAATAAATTAAAATTACCTGAATCACACGAAATTCTGCATTGCTGCACTACAGTGCTAGGCAATTTATCAACAACTGAAATTTACGGCCTAGTTGCCCAGTGCGGCTGTGTTTGTACGCCGTTTACCCGAGCGCGCGTTCTTCGACTGGGCGTATACATTTCTATCACCTCTACGTTTAGTTCGTCCAGACCTGTATATACTGCTTAGCTCTTTGGTCTTCAATTGAGATCGGAAAGACTATACAAAGTATGCACTGGGCGTCCTATTTTTACTAATATAGTCGAGCTGCCTCAAGAAAACTGTATTTTCAACTGTGTTTCAATGTTTTTTCATGATTTTTCTTGCCATTAATAATTTCAAAAATCCATTACTAATCTTAAATTTATTATTAGGTACATCTATAAATCCGACATTTAATACTCTGAAAGAAACATGATCTTGGAATACGACCACCGAGACCCCAGTTTATAACTTAAAGACCGATTATAAAAAGCATTTACCCCCATGCTCATGACCCCTGGTATTAGATAACGAGCCCCTATGGCCTTCTAGATTTCCCCCATTTAATGTAACTAAACCATTACGCCTTTTAATAAGCATAACGCTCCAAGAGGCAACCTCACTATTTATTTACTGTAAATGTGTCGGCGGAATTTTCGCCAATGCAAGCACATAAATCAAATTTTAACCATCCCCTGGAGAATATGAATAGAGAAATTGTTAAATGTGTTAGTTTCGGTTGATAATTTATTGTGTTTTCTTATTTGGTTAACCACCATAAATCGCCATAGTTGTTTTGAACAGAAGGGTTAGTTTAATTTCATGTGCGTGCTTGCTGTCTATATATTATTTTTCATAACGATTTATGTATTTAATAGGCCATTAATGTGGCGGTGAGTTATAAGCATTTGGGGATGTAAAGTTCTCAGTACATGTAGTGTGCATATCTTAAGTGTACTACAATTTGTATAGATATAAACAAAAGTATCAGCTGTCTATGAATAATGTTAATTTTATATAAAATTTAAAAAACGAACTGAGAATACACGATATTTGAATATAATGCTTTTTAAAATTACATAGTGGGCTGCGATAGCAACTTTGACATTCTGAGAAGTTAGAAGAAAAAATAAATGATGCTTTTCTTCAGATTCAAGCAACAATAAATTTCGAACAAATTAAATTTTCGTTACTAAAAAGATGTCGCGCCTGTGTTCGTGGTAATGGAAGTATTTTTGAGCATGTACTCAAATAAAATCATTAAAATGATGACTAATGTTATTAATTTCTTTATTCGAATAAATAACCCAATGATTAGTGCTTGTCATGTCATTTAATTGAAAGTGTTTCAGTTCGTTTCTTAGTTTTACTCGAAAATCAGTTTTTTTAAAAAAAAACATAAGAGAGTAGGTAGTAATTTGTAGAAAATTTAAAGACAAATCCGAAAATATCATGGTTGTTACCATAAAGCAGTGGTGTACAATATTATTTAGAACAATATGCCACCGATACCCTGTATCTCCGCCACTGGAGCATGTAAATTTTAGGAAACGCTCTCAAATTTTGGACAATGTTTATATAAATACTACTTTTTAGATAAAAACTTTACAGGAAAGATTCCCTTAAAATTCACCAAAGTATAAGAGGTTTCATTTTTGGTCACCATTTGTGAATCACCCTGTATAAAAAATAGAGACTTTTCAGAAATTTAGTAAAAATATAAAAAAATATTAAAGTATATAATCATACTTTTGTTTTTTTTATGCGCACGATATTGTTCCTTGGATAATTTTGGACTACAAAGTTAAGATACTTTATGAACTAATTGTAAGAATATGAAGCTATTGATTTTTGAGATATAATTTGTTAAAATTTTGAAAAATAAATCATATTTGTATCTACAGATATCTCTGACGATGTTTGACGTAATTTAATAAAATCTAGGCAAATAAATTTGCTAGTCAAAAGTTAAAAATACACCGAATTGCAAAACTGGACGAGACGACGACTAGGAAATCAGCTGTTTCTCTACAACGTCGGGTCGCTGTGCACTTCGCTGGCCTGCGCGGCGCGTTCCCTATTACGAAGTGGAGCGCCGAGTTAGAGAAGGGGTAATTGCTCATTTTTTAAAAGGCCAAGAAATTTTTTTTCTAATTATTTTCTGTCTTTGTTAGGCCTTCCGAAAACGTGGTTAAAATTAAGGACATCATAACTGAAACACCAGTATAATTAGTAATAAAAACAATTATTGTCTATAGATTATCGCGTACTGTTTCAGGAGTTCAAACTACCCCCGGAAACCTCCAAAATTAATAAAAATATGTAATGGTGAAATAAATTTTCTCGTTACAAGTTGAACATATGAACGACTAGATACAAAGTTAGGACCTCCTTAGATTTAGCTGGGAAGATTTAATCTGACTCTGTTATTCTCGGGCCAAGCTCTGTGGGGTCTGACCCGCTAGCGGGCCCATCTGATATTGATTTCGATTCGTATTGTAAGTTCTAAGGCCATGGAACGAATGGAACCGTTCTTCCAACAGTGTAACTGAGCATATATACAAGCTTAGGAACGTTTACCATACGTCATCTTCTGTGGTGACTTAATCATACAACTTAATCATAGATGACGCTTACTATATGCAGAGTATTTAATAATTTCAAAGTAGCGTTTTGTTTTAGAAATATGTAATTCTGATAGACATTTATCTTTACAAGTTTTGTTCTTAATTAATTTCTCTCTTTAAAATAATTCTGTTTTAATTTACTCTTTATATAGAGGTGATTCTTTACACGATAAACCTTCGTGTCTGTTTTTATGGTAAAGTTGCAAGCAAAGCTAAACAACTCAATAGAGGTTTTCATAAAATTTTCACGTACTTAAACTTGTTTCTCCCTTCTCTACTTACATAATTTATAAAGAGCGCTTTGTTTCAGGTGAAAAGCGACGTGGAAATCTTGGTTGATAAATATTTTGGCAGTTTATACAAGAATTATGAACATTCGCGAAAATGTTTAATCAGGCAAGCCAGGGATTTGCTGGTTTGTGAATATCACGGGTGTTTACAGAGATTCGAGAACGAGTTCTGCGTGCAAGCTGAGAAACTTCTACAACATCTCAAGGTAAGTCCCTATTTTATTAACCGGAATTGTATGTTGTTAATGAAGATGCGGGTTTGTAATATGCAAAAGGCTTTGTGCAATGCAACGAGAAATAATTTGAAGCATATAACATATGATGGTCAAATATCCATCCCTGGTTAATGAGTTGCAAGGTACCAGGGTAGACGTTCGAACGCCTGTTAGGATGGCTTCACAGAACTCCTGCAATGATCTTCGCTTTAAATTTCTCTCGGGTTTCGCCGACCTTCGGAATCTAGACTCCTCGTAGTAGTATTTAAATTATTGTTTGATATGATGGTTCGTTAGACCTTTATCTGAACTTATAATAATCCTAATTCCTGTTGAATTAATTATTTTAAAAGCATAACTGTCAATTTTTTGGACCATAAGATATATCGCAAAGGAATTTAAAATTATATGTTCGCTCGACCTCAACCAAAATCAAAATTGTTCGAAACAGTAATTTAAATACCTGATTTGCTAAATATCCTAAATAGAAAGGCATCGATCATTTTAGTCACTGTTTACAATCTGAATATTATCAAAATTCATTTGTCAAAATTCGTTGGTAGATATACCCACAAGTACGAACAACACAAAGTTACGATTAAGAACGTACAGGTGTGATGAGATGGCCATATAGTTGCCGTTAAAGCTTTCATCATTAACGCTGAAACAATCGAGATGCGAGTATTCCAAGCAGACCATCTTTAATGGTTCTTAGTAGATGCCTCAAATTGATGGTATTAAAATTTTATCTGACGTTCATTTGAATGAATTAATTTTTACTGGCCTTAAACAGTTACCATCACACGAAAATTAGTTGGATTGCGGTTCATTGACCACACACGGAAGTTGGGCCACGTGGTGTTCAGATATTTTTGTGAGGTGAACCTTATATTGCTTCATCACGAAAAGTTTTGGACCATCCATTGAATTTTGACAATTCCAAAAACAAAATAATTAAATATTGTACCTATGTGTTTATATGAAATGCTTCGTCCATTTTTATATTTTCTGCCAGAGCATTTTCTCAAAATTACAGTGATATAGAATTTGATGGGTCTGATAGAAAAAGAAATAGTGCCAAATATATGTTTAATTGGTTAGAATGAAATTACTATTAGTTCGACCACAGACAATATAGCGTATCGCTACAGACTGCTACTTAAATGCTGGAAATTGGCAACCCGAAGCAGGGTCTCCTTAGCCGGCTTCCAGCTATAAAATTTAGCGTGGTAACTCTTCTACTTGCTAATAGGCGGCAGTTCCAGCGGTGGCTTTGTTGCCAAATAATAACTGCTAAATAAATTTAATGCTTTCAATTATGTAATTAAAGAGATATGGAACTTATCTTGTGTTTGGATATCACATTTGCCTTAAATGTTAAATAAAATAAATCAAGTTAGAATTAAAACTATGAATTTACCTAATTAATTATTTATTTTATATCACCTTGGAATGGGAAAATTCAAAAACTCGAAAGTAATGTTTTTAGATTTGTGCGTCGACTTCCAATATGGTACGATATCAAAACCTATGTTTAAAAAAATTGCATTATACAGATTGTGTATCCTTAGATGGGTACTGCCTCTTATTGTTGATTTCTTTAGATAGGTAAATAATTATTTATTGACACAAGTGTTGCATATTATGGATGTCATTGGTAGTGCCCATATTTGTGACACAAGGTGTTCAAAAAAATTAACACAATGTAAAATTGCTGGAACCTCAAGGAGTAGTTGAATACGAAATTTATTTAAAAAAAAACAACAAATCATCAATCAATACAGAGATAAGATAATGCGTTCGCTACTGCTGTTGCAATTTTTAACTAACTAACTTTTTTGTTTTTCGACATACTGACTTCGGACCGTTTCCATTCAACGCAGAACGGACAATCAGAACCAGAGTAGTGGGGAGATTTTTTTAATTATTTTTTCAATTCAACGCACCGTTTCCGAATTATAAGACCTTTTTTACTGTATCACCTCACACACCTCTTCTTTCCGAAATTTATTTTCCACATATGGACTTCGGACCTTTTCCATTCAACGCAGAACTGTCATACAGAACTAGAGGTGTGGGGAGATTTTTTCAATTATTTTTTCGATTCAACGCACCGTTTCCGAGTTATAAACACTTTTTTATCCTATGACGTCACACACCGTTGGTCCCGATTTTTTTTTTGACATGCGGGTTTTGACGTTTTTCACTCGTTCACCATGGGAGATTTATTTGTTCACCATGGGAGATTTTTTGATACTAAAGAGTCTAAAGCAAATACTGTTTTTTTTTCTTTAATATATTGTGACACCCCGCTCTGCGTCACCCACCGAGTGCTCTACTCAGAACCAAAGGGAAATTTGTTTATATTTCCAGCCATTTCCGAGTTACGAGCAAAAACCATTTTTTTTTTCTTATACTGTGTGACATCATAGATCGATAACGAAGGCTTAACAAGGCCACGCGCTCTACCCCACGTTCCCTCCCTAGATGTCCTGAAATTGCTGGGGAGACTCCTGAAGGCAGCAGAGAGAGAGAGAGATAAGCTCTCTATGAGAACAGAATCACTCTATCTCTATCGCACACTATAACTCTATCTCTCTCGCACACAATCAGACAAAAACGACAGAAACGAACCTTCTTTTAAAAATACATGGGATTTATCATTACTAGAACAACTAATTTTAATTTAAAAAATTACATTGGGTTATTCTGATGACGAAAAATAAAACATAATTAACTGTATTATTCAAATAACAATAATGTGCAAAAGTTCTTCAGGAATATTGGCAAATTTATTTTGGAGGAAGAATCCCGTCAACGAACACTAAAAAATATTATTAGAAACCTTAGGTGGCCAGAAAACAGCCCCGATCTCATTGTCAGTCCTTTAGACATATTTTTTTTACCTGAAAATTTGCAAGTATTGAAAAAAAATACAGGACGAAATGCTTGATAATTTTGAATTTGTTTTTGAAGCAATTAATAGTAAATTGAAACATATTTTCAACTGTATCATCACAATCACTTGCATGTTGATTTGTAAAAATTGTAGGTATATTAATGTTATTTCGTTTTTAGTTATTCTCCTTATGTTGTTGTAAAGGTTAGTTATAAAAAGCGTTGTTTGTTATTTTCATAAGGATGAATTTTAATTTTTTTTAATGATTTTTTTTATTTTAAACATATATATTTTATGCCAGTAAATTTTGATGTCAAATGAAATAAAGGAAAAGTCGTACATTTGTATTTAAAGTTTCTTTCTATCTTTAATTATTAAACCTATAAGTGGATGTCAAAATACAAAAAAAAACCTGTACCTACATTCCGCGACGTACTAATAACCCACCTTGTATATTAAATAAATTTATCGTCATCATCAAATATTAAAAAAATTATATTACAAGCTGTTTAAAATATTATTACGAATTTTGTTTATTTGGAAATATATTTTCTGCAGTATTTCAATACCAAAAAATGAAAATAGTAGGTAGCTAATTAACGAAATTATGATTAAATAACTTAATTGTAACACCACTGCAGAATATCATATGATACATACATAGATATTCGTTGATTCTTTAAAAACATTTTTATCAATACCTACATCATACATTGAAGTAAATACAGTAACGCAAAAAACAGATATTGATAAAAAAGTGTACAAAAGAAATCCGTAAGTACGCCTGGCAACATTACCAAAGTCTTGTTTATATGTTGCTAGGATACGCTTAGGTATGCGGGCCGCTGTATTTGATTCTTCCTAAAATTCTGCTGGTGGTGTACTCTACCGGCAATTCGGAAATTTAAAACTACTGGCCTATTCCAGGAGCGGTCTGTGGCGATAGCTATTTTGTCTGTGGTTCGACAGTCAATATTTATAACAGCCAGAAAAAGTTTCAGTTTTTTATCTTTATGTGATGTCTACTTAAACCTTTGTTTCAAAAAATAAAAAAGTGACGTTACATTAATTATTTAGGTCAAATAATATTTCACTTCTATTTAATATTAATATCGAGGAAGCAGTTTCTTTGCTTAATATTATATTTTATAGCGCTGAAAAGTGGAACTCCGGGATATTCGCAAAATTGAAACAAATTGCAAAGCGCGGAAAGGCTAAAGGGAACGCAGAATGTATAAATAATAACGTGGTACGTACAAGGCTACGAACAACCGTAATTGTTGCTAATGTTTCCGTACAACACCGAGGCTTAATTGTAAGGACTAGTTACTAGTTTTATATTTGCCTTTAAGTCCTTTTTAAATGCCATTTACAACTGCTTTGAAATAATCTCGCAAGTCTGCTTCGATTGGTCGACTTACAGACAAGTGCAACTAACGAGAGATCTGGATTAGGTCAGCTGGCCTCATCGCTGTTGTTGAGATTCAGTCAAAGTTAAATACATTGATTATTGCTGATACAGTGCTAGTATTAAGTCTCACCTCCCTTTATATATTTGTTTATACTTTTTTATATATTACATGTTATTGAACAAATTAGAAACATTTAAATTATCCATTCCAATCACAAATATGTTGAAATCATATCTAGAGAACAGAATCAATGTGTTCAATTCCATAACCCCGGATGAGTAGAGTTCATGGAGATCTCGGGTGTGCTTCAGGGATATATTTTGAGCCCACTTTTACACATATTATGTATTGACGACATAATATCAAATCTCAACGGAGTGCACTGTTTGATGATGTCCTAAAACTGTTTACCGAAATTAAATTTGAGTAAGAAAGTAATAAATAAAAGTTCTCTGGTCAAGTAAATTATTTTAAACCTGACTACAAACTTCAAAATTCCTTATTCAACAAGATCAAAATATTTGAGAGATCTTGGTGTCATGTTTGATGCTAACAGAGCTGTTGAGCTTTTGAAGCAAACAGTCTAATCAACTGTACCTATATGGCTTTTTATAAATTATTACTGTACATCTTTCAAAGTAGTCTCTCTGATACTGTAACTTATCCGCTGGATAATATTT